GCTTCTCGTCCTCTCCGTCTCGGCACAATACGCCCCCGCAAGCTGAACCGTGAAGATCTTGAACGTTCAGCTTGGACAAAAGAAACCGAAAACGGTCTGCACCAAGCCCTTTTGTGAACATGTCTGCAAGCTGAAGATGAGAGCTAACCTTGCGGGGAAGAATATCATGAGAAAGAACTCGCTCCCGTACGAAATGGCAGTCCATCTCCACATGTTTAGTCCGTTCATGGAAAACAGGATTAGCCGCAATATGAAGGGCGGCTTGATTATCGCAGTGGAGAGGAGTGGGGCTAGACTGAGGGACACCCAACTCCTTTAAAAACCAGCGAAGCCAGAGAAGCTCACTCACTGTGCTGGCCATGGCACGATACTCGGCTTCGGCAAAAGAACGAGCAACTACCTTCTGCTGCTTAGTACGCCATGAAATAGGAGCCGAACCAAGAGAGATAAAAAAAACGTGTAGTAGAACGACGGGTGGTCTGACAGCCCCCCCAGTCTGCATCAAAATATGCCACTAAGTCGAGAGAGTTCGACGCGGGAAAATAAAGCCCTTGCCCAGGTGAAGTCTTCAAGTAGCGGAGAATTTGAACAGCAACATCCATGTGAGCTTGAGTCGGGGCATGAACAAAATGACTCAAAATGTTTACACCATAAGCAATAGCAGGGTGCGAAACTGTCAAGTAGAGGAGACGCCCTACCAGTCGACGGTAGGGAGATGTATCAATGAGAGGACTGGAATCCGGCTTAGTGAGTTGGTGATTTTGCTCTACTGGAAAAGAGCTAGGACGTGCACCAAGAACTCCTGCATCATTGAGAATGTCAAGAACATACTTGCGTTGGCTAAGGACAATGCCACGCGGTGAACGAGCAACCTCAAGACCGAGAAAGTATTTCAGGGGGCCTAAATCCTTAATATTGAACCGCTGGTCGAGGAACTTCTTGACATGAGTGATGAAATCAAGACTATCACCTGCCAGTATAACATCATCCACATAGATAAGTGCAACAACGAAAATGTTGTCGCGACGATAGATGAAAAGAGAGTGATCTGCCGGAGAGGCGCGAAAACCAATTTCACAGAGAGTTGTAGTGAACTTCTGGTACCAATTCCGTGAAGCCTGTTTTAAACCATAGATTGATTTCTGAAGACGACAAACACGACGATCCCTGGGAGCCGCAAAACCGGGTGGAATGCGCATGTAAACTTCCTCCTGTAAGTCACCGTGCAAAAAAGCATTGTTGACATCGAGTTGATGAATGTGCCACTCACGACTAGCAGCAACTGCCAGGAGACATCGAACAGTTACGAGCTTCGCGACGGGGGCGAAGGTATCATGATAGTCCAAGCCCTCAATCTGTGTGTAACCCTTCGCCACTAGACGCGCCTTATAGCGCTCAATAGTACCGTCAGGCCAATACTTTATTTTGAATACCCATTTGCAGTCGATGATATGAGCTCCTGATGGAGAATCAACTAAGTTCCATGTCCCGTTTGCAACCAGGGACTCTATCTCTTTGATCATGGCAAGACGCCAATGCTCATGTTGAATAGCTTCCGAAAAACTTGTAGGCTCAACTTCCTTGGAAATCTTTGCAAGGTAGGCTCGATGGCTAGTTCTGAAACGATCGTAGGATACATAGTGAGATAGAGGATACTGAACATGAGAGCCAAAGTTCAGATTAGTGTCATAAATTTCAAGCCTTTTGGGCGGCCGACACTCACGTGCGCCGCGTCGAGGAGGAGGAGTGACCTCAGGGGTGATTGCTGTGATGAAGGTGGCGATTGATCGCCTGCTAAGTGGCCAGTCTCAGGTGTAGCATCTGGACTGGGTATGGATGAAGACAATTGTGGCTAATTTACTCGCGGCCCATGTGGTGACGACGAAGAAGACTCAGTGGGTTGAGTGGGAGAAATGGAACCCGTGATATCGTGCATGGGCGAAATAGTGGCATGCAGAGGTGAAGAGCTGGGTGACGTGGCCACATTCACCTCGTCTTCATCAACCATAAAAGGAGGACCCCAGTGAAATTCTCGAGGGTCTTGAGCCCGGAAGGGAAAATATCTTCATGAAATATGACATCACTTGAGACGTGAGTCTTATGAGACTGTAAATTGTAGATTTTGAACCCTTTTTGAGAAGCTGCGTAGCCCAAGAAAACCCCGGCACGTCCACGATCAGAGAATTTATGTAGGCCACCATCATTATCCTTGCTATAAACAAGGCATCCAAACACTCGTAGCTGAGAATACTGGGCTGGTTTATCAAAGAGGATTTTGTGAGGAGTCTTACCAGTGGCTTCAGTGGGTAACCTATATATCACATAGACAGCAGTTAAGATGCATTCACCCCAAAAACGAACTGGTAATCCTGCATGAAATCTAAGTGCTCTTGCAGTCTCTAGAATGTGCCTATGTTTCCGTTCCACCACCCCATTATGTTGAGGTGTATCAGTGCAGCTGGTTTGTAGAACGATTCCAGACTGCTCATAGTAGTCACGTAATGAAGAGGTTTGAAACTCCAACCCGTTATCTGCCTGTATCCGCCGCACTTTCTTTGAGAACTGAGTGGAAACCATCTCACAAAACATAACAAGCTTACGTGCAACCTCTGACTTGAATTTCAAAATATAAACCCAGACTCCTCGACTGAAATCGTCAACTATAGTCAAGAAATAATGTGCCCCGCTAAGAGAAGCGGTTTGATAACCTCCCCAAATGTCAACATGAATAAGCTCAAAACAATCCGAAGTCTTAATAGAACTATGCGGAAAAGGAAGACGACTCTTCTTTGCACGAAGGCAAGGATGACAGGGCCCATGCGACTTGGAATCCGAGAACTCAAGGAAGGGACGCAATTGAGAGCGTTTAGCAGGGGAGGGGTGACCCAAACGAGCGTGCCAAACTTCCTCCGAAATTGCACGACGTCCACTGCATGCAAAAAGGAACTGCTCTTTGCTATCGAACAACTTCAAGTAGTAAAGTCCATCACGGAGAATCCCCTTCCCAATCACGTTCCTGGAGCGTAAGTCCTGAAGAATACACAAGTCACGTAGAAAAATCAAAGCAACATTGTTGTCCTTGGTTAGCTTACTCACGGACAACAGATTACATTGAAAACTTGGAGCATGTAGAACTCGGTCGAGTTGAACTCCAGACCCCAGCTTAACCGAACCAATACTTTTAACTGGCACATTATCACCATTCGGGATTTCACCGGATTGCTATTTTCTTCAACCGAAATATCACTTAATAACCGTTCATCCTTGGTGATATGTTCATTGCAACCCGAGTCTATCAACCATTCAGAATTGTCGAGAAACGTACCTGCCATATGCGCGGATGGATCATCCGTGTTAGGAGCTTGAGCGAAAAACTTCTTGAGGCTGTCAAGTTGAGCAGTAGTAAAACCAGGGACAGGGCTAGTGTTGCTGTCAGCCTGTGCAGCTCGTGGAGGCATGTCCTTGGGGTTTCGACGTCGTCGTTCCCCACGGTCTGACTTGTTATTCTCCCCACGTGGTACCCATGTTTCACCCTTCTTTGTCTTGTCATTATGGTTGCAGGTTGGGTATCCTATGAGTTCATAACAGGTTGCCTTGAAGTGGCCTTCTTTTCCGCAGTGTACGCATATGGGGCGTCCATCCAGAGTTCGACGACGCTCGTCATTTGCACGAGCTGCGAAGGCGGCACCTTCTGGTGCGGGACGACGACGTTGAGCAAGAAGTCATTGTTGTTCATCTGTGGAGACTATATTGAAAGCTTCAGCAAGACTAGAAGTAGGCTTCATTGAGAGGATTTGACTACGAACGGTCCCGAAACTTTCGTCGAGACCCATTGGGAAGTCGAACAAATGTGAGCATTCTTCCTTGGCTCGAATGCGAGCTTCCAGGCCACAATCACAGCGGCCACAAGTACAGACTTCAGAAGGTGAAAGCGACTGTGCTTCCTCCCAATACGTACGAAGTTGTGTATAGAATGACGAAACTGTGAGCTTCTCCTGCCAAAGTGCACTGATGAGACGGCGGAGTTCGTAGCCGCGAGTAAGACTACCTTGGCCAAAACGATCCTTGAGGTCTACCCATACCTCTCTTGTTGTCTTAGCGTATCGAATGCTGCTCCTAACTTCTTTATTCATGGAGAGCCGCATCCAGCCCTTGACGACGACATCGCATCGAATCCATGCGCCCAGTTCTGGCTCTTGCGTCGACTTCGATATGGTGCCATCGACAAAACCAAATTTGTTTTAAAACTATTTGGGCATCAGTGACGTCCACGACCCACTCGCCGTAGTTTGTCGGAGTGAGAGGATCGCTTACTTGGAGTTGCCCATTGACATAAGACGGGTGAAGAAAGTAAGGCGACTGTGGCTCCGGGAAGACATGGCCGGAGGAGGATGACGAAGAGAGGTGACCCTTCCCTCTGTCGTCGATGGGAGTCGACTTCTTACTTTCCTCGTCGTCGCTCATGAGGACAGATGATCAAAGGACCGTATGCTCTGATACCATAATAAATCTAGCATAAACGATGAAAAACACGCGCAATTTACGTGGTATCCCCAACAATTCGTTGGGACTAATCCACGGGAGAGAGAAGTCTCTCTTACTGAACTCTTATTGATAATCAACCAGAATGTCTCTCGCTTTCCAAACAAGCATATTTATAACCCTATTACTACATTCTCCTAGGGTTACATTAGGCCTTAGCTGCCGTTTACAATAAGGAGAAGGAAACGGCAGAGCTTGTGGGGCTTTACAGCCCTCGCGGCCCATACATCGATGCTTCTCGTCATCTCCGTCTCGGCCCAATAGGAGCAGGGGCCGCCGCAAGCAGCCGTCTTGAAGGCTATCTCAGGTTTACCTCTCTTTTTTGTTTAATGGGTTCTTGAATTTTCGCTAGCTTCTCAAATCCGCATGGCTTCCGTGGATGCTCTGAAGCATGCCAGTTTGCGCCAAATGATGTTGATGTTGTTTGGCAGAGTTTGTCAAAAACACAAGGGAGAGTGGGACAAACTACGAATGTGGCGTCATTGGAGGGACAGTGGCTGATGATTCCTCCGAAGAATGGCTTGATTTAGATAAGAATGAAGGTACGGGAAATGCATTTCCACTTTGAATTATGAGTGTGGACCAATTCGAATCACTAAAGTCGCATATTGGATTGATGTTTTAGTGATAAGGGCTTAACTGGATTAGAATGACATTGAAATGTTGATTCACCAGGTTAACACATATCCTACGGTTAGAGGATTTACTGCCATTGGAACTGGGGGTGATGATTTCGTTCAAGCTATGGTTGTTGCTGTGGAATCTGTAATTCAACAGTCTATTCCCGAGGTTAGTATGATTCTCCTTTGGTTACTCCCCATGGGACTGTTAGGAAAAAGAGTTTAGGTCAGACATGCTGAAGGAGATCAAGCCGTGTGGTGTCTTTTCAATGTTAAACTTACTGTGATGATTTATGTCGAGCCCTGGAGGCTTTTGTAGTCGAAGATTTTGTGACGTTTTAGCGAGTCCCTTGATTTGCCTAATTCGCGAGATTGAAGAAAGCATTTGATGTTGCTAGTATGCTTTAGTTAGAAGTTGTGGTGTTTGTAAAAATGTGGAATGAGTGTTCTATCTTCTTGTGAGTCGTTTTCTCGTCTCAAGTTGGAGTCTGAGGATGATCCAAAGTTAGTATGTGCAGTAGGTAAAGTATTTCGCCGCAACAGAAAAAAGTGATTTAACTGTGTGCGATCATGCAGTCTAGCTAGTGTTAAGCTGAAACTACATGATACTCATTTTGGAATGACATGGCAAAGAAATATTCTATTGCTTTGTTTACGACTGATATGTATTGAGGATGGAATATGTGATGGTCATGGCCTGGTAGTCACAAGCTGTTTCATACTACGAGGCCGGCTTAGTCGTTGCTTAGCAGTTAACTCCTTAACATAATCGTATTAAATTTATTTTCTTTTGCTCTGGTGCTCATTGAGAGAAATTGACTGCTGCTAGCTGTTGAAGGGCTGTGGTATTTCATATTTGGCTAACCCCACCTTTGACTCACTGGCACACTGCTGAACTCACAACAATGACCAGCTTGTTTATTGCCATTGGTTGGAAATGGACTGGTTTTAGTAAGATATGCAATGAAACCATAGCTGGAGCATAGTCAGTTTGTATAACTTTACAGTGACAGATTGGTGGGTTCTCATCTTCAGGGTCGAGTGAGGCAGAAAAGTGTCATCGAGACTAAGCAAAGCTTAGTCTTTGTAGTATCATAAGACTATCTTCATCTCTATGAAAAAGAGGTCAAAGTGAGTTAGGTGCAGCAGTTGGAATAATGCTTTTTTTTAGATAGATTCTCCCTGGTATGCTACCAAATATATGCATAGTTTGTGACTAAGCAAACAGTGTCGCTGGTTGTCGGTTCCCGTCCCCTTTTCTTTGACTATATTCTTCTGGAGCAGTTCCCATATGTTTACCATTTTTGACCGTCAGCACTCTGCTCCTTTCCACCATTTTTTCCCCTTCCCCCTTAATTATGCAGTTTCAAATTGAAGACGAGTTAGGTTAAGGATGCTGATTGGAAAAAGGCATTATTAGGGGCGGATTGACAATAATGAAGCATTGTATCACAATCTCAATGGAGCGGTGTGTACTCTATCAACATGTAACTTTGCATCATGCAGGCTCTGTGGGTTGTTGTGGTGTGTTACTACCACTTACATCTGGCAAGAGCGTTGTTGGAATGGAGGCTGCATGGTGTTGTCCAAAAAAGTTATGAGGATGTATATGCAAGTTTTGTATAGTTATAGGCTACTTTTGTAATGTTTGTTTAGTTAAGTACCAGCTAGGACTTTAGGTTTGACATGTATATAATATGTGAAGGATATTGTAATTTTTCCGGTTGATTAATAAAAATAAATCCTATCAACTTTCCTCTTCAATCACTGATTTTTCGATCCAACATGATACCAGAGCAGTAATATCTTTGTTCTTGATTTTGATTATGTTTTCTATGATCTTTTGATCAGTTTCCAAAGTGGTGAACAATATGTCTGTTTCTTTTGAGAAGGCATACGATATCAAGGAGACAACACTTGTGACAAGGTTCCCCGCTCATCCTTGGATGACATACTGCAGACGATTTGACTGACCCTGCTCCTGCCACGACAACTGCACATTTAGACGCTACCACTGTACTATCAATAGGACTAGCCGCTAAAGGTATATATCATGTAGTAAATCTGAGCAACATGAGGGATCTGTTGTCTCGGACCCATTGGAGGAGAAGAGGGCTTCAGGAGTGAAAAGCCCTCGAGGTCACCCAAGGTTGGTGTTGAGCATCGTTTGCGGAAGCTGGCAGTGAAGATGGACGAGGAGAGGGCTCCGTGGAGGTTGGGAAGGGACGGGTGTCACATCCGTGTGTGAGAGAGCAGAAAATGGAGCAAAAGCTCACCGAACATAATGCCATTAAGCGGAGGTCGCGTGAAGCCATGAGGAGAGGGAAGAAGTGCCACATGGCTAAGCTCTGGGAAGCACTGCTGGAATCACCCAGGAACAGGCTAGACGGAGAAAGATGATCCTTGATGATGATTCGGAGGAGGAGTTGCCCCCGCGATTTTCATCCGTGCAACCCAGTCTTCGCAGTAACATTGTTGACCACGTGCAGAGGTGTGCCCATAGGGATCTCAAGGAAGGCGAAAAAACTCTACTTGTCCCGCCGTGGCTCATTAAGGAAAACCAGATGAAGGAGGACTTATCTCCCCAAGAAGATCACAACATAGCTGTAGGAAGCATCACCAGCCGCAGTCAGCTACTACCTCTCCTAAGCTGGAACGGAGTGAAGATTATCAAAGAATTGCTCTCGGGAAGGGAAATGCGAAGGTTGTGGGAGTTATATCCGGCCCTACTGATTGGAATGCTGACCTCATTAAGGAGTCTGGAGGTATCATTTTCTCCCCAGCTCCAAACATACTCGACTCTTATTGGGATGACCATGGACTGGTGGATTCGGAGACCACTCTTTCAGAGGGATAGGGGCATTACTTCGAACGGAGGGGTCGTGTCTGTGTTGATGAGAAAGGTGTTAATCTCCAAACCTATTTGGGGAGAGTGCACCAAGTTGTGAAGTCTTTCAAATCAGGGATGGTGATTAACAATGTTGGTGGAGAAATTCAAAATGGCGCGGGCTCACACCTGGAGACCATTACACATACTAAGGCGATGCTGGGTGACGAAAGTGCAATGGTGACCAAACTTAATGAGTATGGCTGGAACATGCTTGAGCTAGGAATTGGGTGAAGAAAGCAAGGACTACAAGAGGTTGATGGGGATGCGGTACAGTTTCCCACACCAAAGAAGCAGTTTGCAAGAGAAGACTGATGCTGAAAAGGTGGAGGAAGCCAGCCTAGAATGACCCCAAATTAATATATTAGGCTTCTTTCCTGGAATATGCGGGGAATTGGATCATCTCTCACATTCCAAACTACAGTAGGATTAGTTCATTCCAATAAACCGGAGCTTGTTTTCTTTTTGGAGACAAGATCAAGTCGGAGAGTAGTTTACCATAGAATGCGAGGGTTAGATTTTGATTCTTCTCATTGATTCTTTGAAGCAAAGCAGTCAAAATCGGGATTTTACCTAAAATAAAAAACTGGGGTAAAATCGGAATCGTAAAATCGAATCGTAGGATTTTAAGTACCATATAGAAATTTTTTTTTTTTTTTTTACAAAAGATAGCTTGCATTACCAAGATCTAAAGATCATAAACGATTACATCTCCGAATGGAGCCAAACGCAAAAATCAAACCCCTCAATAAGAGCGGGAAACAAAGAAAGGGCTTTCCTAGCCACCCTATGGGCTACCCTATTGTTATCCCTGCCTACAAATCGAAGCTTCTCCCCTAAACCATCCGCCAGCATTCCTTGAATCTCCTGTAACACAGCACCCCCTCTGGAATCCCACGTACACCCCGCCACCACTTTGTCAATCACGACCTTCGCATCCCCCTGGTAGCAGACATCCTGGATACCCATCGCCCGACACCACAATATCGCTTCCCGAAGCGCCATCAACTCCACAAGCATTGGGTCAGTAAGACCAGCCAACCCCCTTCCCATCGCCCTGACGACCACCCCATCCGGCCCTTGCAGCACCACCCCCACCGCCGAATGAGATCCCTCACGCACTGCCCCATCAAAGGAGCACACCCAAGACACATCCTGCGGCCACAGATCCCGCCTACGTACCGCCCCCTGCCTGTGATCCCTGTGGCTCCCTTCCCCCGCACCATTCGCATTCCGCCATTCGTCGACCTGGATACACCATTGGTTACGCAAAACCACCCTCTGATATTGGCATCCATCGAAAACAACCCAGTTGCGAGACTTCCACACCCTCCAGAGCATAGAGATGACCCGCATCAGGATTCCCTCATCGGCCACCTCGTCCAGCAGCCTACGCACCATCACGCCCACATTCTCCACTGGCAACCTAGCTCGAACATCCTCTAACCCCGAATCCGCCCACAAATCCCTCGCCACCGGGCAATGGAGGAACAAATGCTCCAAATCCTCCAACTCATGCCAACACACCGGGCACCGCTCCTCCACCTCAATGTCACGCACAAGAAATGCCTCCACCGTCGGCAAAATTCTGTTCATGACCTGCCACATGAAGAACTTAAGCTTCGGCGGAATTCTGAGATTCCACAACTTCCCCCACAGCCCTGAGTCCATCCAAGACACCTCACACTTGCCCCTCCACTGGCCCTTGTTCAACCTCATCGCTAAACGATACCCTGACTTAACCGTGTACTGCCCGGACCGGTCCTCATGCCAGACAAGCTTATCCCGGATAGGCAATCGAGGGAGGATGATCGATTTGATTGCCTGAACCACCTCCGGACTGAAGCAATTTGCCAAGCACTCATCACACCACGTCCCTGGCTCCTCACCCATCAACCCCGATACTGTGGCACCCTCCCATAGTTGAGCCGACGCCCGCACCACCTGAGGATTCGGGTGACACTCCGGCACCCAATTGGTTGTTGCAATCTCCACCTCCTCGCCCGTACCCACTTGCCAACGTAGTCCCGCCTTTAACAGATTAACACCATGCAGAACGCTCTGCCACCCCCACGACGGCCTAGATCGAGCGGTGGCCGTCAACAGGGAACCATTCGGGAAATATTTCCCTTTGTAGATCCGCGCGAGCAGAGAGTCAGGCTCCTGTATCATCCGCCATCCCACTTTGGCCAGCAGAGCTTGATTAAACTGCTCAAACCGTCGAAAGCCCAGACCCCCTTCATTCTTAGGCTGGCACAATTTTCGCCATGATCTCCAGTGAATCCTCTCAACCGAACCCCCCCACCAAAACCGCGCCATATATTTATCTAGACGCCTGCACAACGTCACGGGAAGCTTAAAACACGCCATAACATAAACCGGCAAAGCAGCCGCCACCGATTTTAGCAGAGTCTCTTTAGCAGCCCAAGACAGGTGACGCTGCTTCCAACCTTTTAACTTCTGCAACATCGTCTCCTCTAGAAATCGGAATGTCTCCGACTTAGATCGAGCAATTAAGGTGGGCAGCCCCAGATACTTATCCTGGACTCCCACCGCCCCCACCCCCAACTTTCCGGCCATGGCGTCACGGTCCTCCTCCGTCACATTCCGGCTAAAGCAAACCGCAGACTTTCCTAAATTCACTCGTTGCCCACTTAACTCCTCATACTCCCCCAAAACTCGCAGCAGGTTCTCACAATGCGGCATCGATGCTTGCACGAACAGATATGAATCATCTGCAAAGAACAAGTTGGACACCCTGGGCGCTTTCGGGCTAACCCGAACCCCCACCAACCGCCGTTCCGCTACCGCTTTTTTGATCAATGCCGTCAAGCCTTCCGTGCAGAGAACAAACAAGAGAGGTGACAACGGATCCCCCTGCCTGAGTCCCCTGGTCGGACGAAAGTACCCTGCTGGCATCCCATTCATCATAATCGAAAAGGAGGAGGACGAAACACACTCCTGGATCCAATTGACCCACTGATCACCAAACCCCATTTTCTTCATGAGCGAAAGTAAGAAGGGCCATTCAACCCTGTCATAGGCCTTTTCCATGTCAACCTTCAAGGCCATATAACCCTTCTTCCCTTTCGTCTTAATCTTCAAATAGTGCATGATTTCATGACCAATCAGAACATTATCAACAATTTGTCTCTCCTTGATAAAAGCATTTTGCTCAGGCGAGACCACCGTTGGTAGAATCAGCGCCAATCTATTAGCCAAGATTTTCGAAATAATCTTGTAGATGACCTGACAAAGACTGATTGGCCGCAACTGCCGCATCGACTCAACTTTCTCCACCTTCGGAATCAGCGTCACCCATGTGTGATTAAAGCTCCGAAGGAGCTTACCATTCACAAAAAAAGACTCCACTGCCTCCACGACCAACTGGCCCACAATATCCCAGTATGACCGAAAAAACTTAGCCGTGAACCCATCAGACCCTGGCGCCTGCGTAGGACCTATGGAGAATATCGTACGACGTATCTCCTCGGGCGTAACGGGGGCAACCAGATCCTGATTCATTTCCGCCGTTACAAGCCTCTCAATAGGCAAAGCCGCCACCCTAGCCTCCAAGTTCTCAACCTGGTGTTCCGTCGTAAACAGCTTCTCAAAAAAGTCCACCGCCATTTAATAATATTAATAAGATGAATTATTAATAAGACAAAGACATATAACATCTAAAATGATAATTTTCAAGATTAATGTTCCAGAATCATCATTTTAATTATTATTTAATGTGTAACTCAAAATAATTTATGAGAAAGGGAT